AGGCATTCCGTGTTCATACATTTGGTTTTTATAGTGTCTATGATGTAAAGCGATGGTTGTCCAAAGGTTTCGTTGTTGTTGATGATCTTTTTTTCTGTGGTGGAACACTTTTTCCAATTAAGCCTCTCTAAGGAATATAAAGAACAAATAAAGGCTGTTCTAAAGGAAGGACAGCCAGGCGTGTATGAGTCAGTAAAAACTGGTTAAATCTGTTCATACATTTGGTTTTTATAGTGTCTATGATGTAAAGCGATGGTTGTCCAAAGGTTTCGTTGTTGTTGATGATCTTTTTTTCTGTGGTGGAACACTTTTTCCAATTAAGCCTCTCTAAGGAATATAAAGAACAAATAAAGGCTGTTCTAAAGGAAGGACAGCCAGGCGTGTATGAGTCAGTAAAAACTGGTTAAATCTTAGATTACCATTTGCATTTCTTGGGCCCTTAGAAGTATTATTTTCATTTCCTTATGTAATTAGTATATAGTCAGTGTGCTGCATAACGACATTTCTGTCAAAGACAGACCTTGTATGTGACGGTGGTACACCATATAGCCTAGATAGTAGGCTGTGCCATCTCTGTGTAAGTGCGCTTTGTGATGTTTGCACAATGAGGAAATCGCCTGATGTTGCATTTCTCAGGAAGGATCCCCATCGTTAAGAGGCTCATGACTGTATTTTTTAAAGGTTGAGAATAGTGATCATTCAAATTTGTTACTAGTTGATGTTGCATGTTATTAGTCAAATTTTTTCTCACCCCTTAATTTGCTTTGTGTTCATTTTATTCCTCATTTTTCTTTTTATAGGACCCAATGTTGTCTTCCAGTGTGAAAGCACCCCAGAGACCCACTATCCAAGTTTGACTCTAGCGTGGAGGCAGGGCAGGCAGCCCTGATCAAATATCTCCTACACAATCCGTTAACTTCGGTTCGAATGTTAGAGCCACTTGTGATTATTTCTTTGTGTTTCTAACTTACAGTTAACATTTATTTGTAACAAATGAAAGGATAGTGGGTCTTTGTGTGGCTTTCCCTGCTGTTCACTCTGGCACCCTTTAGCATTTTTCTCCTTTTTTAATTTGGTAATTGTAGGTCATTAGCATGCACATTGAGTTTTCCCCGACATGGTGGGAATTCAAACACACAAAGACCCACTATTTGCACAAACTGTTCTCGCTGGTTTGGAATGAGCTGCCATGCTTTTCTATCTAATGTTATCGCAACTTGTATATTGATTACAGAATTCAGATTAAATTTGCTTATGTTTTGCTCTTATGTTTGATCGAATCCTAATTACAGTGAGCTTTTAATTGGTTCAATGTGTGATTTGTCCCCAGATATGCAGTGTTTAATTTGTTACTTTCTAATACGCCACTATTCAATTTGTTAAATTCAGTTTGTTAAATTTAAAGGCCAAGAACTGGAAACAACCTTTTATGTATTTTCTGTGTATTTGGGGGTAGAAGCAATAACATTTTTGGGGAGCTTTTCTTATCTCAGAAGAGGACAGTGGCCTGCCCATCAATATGTGCAGAATGGGATATGTTTCATTGGTTAAGTTGCCCAGGAATGAGCACAGTGCTGTGGTAGTGACCTTAGATCTTTATGTGCTGTGGACATGAAGATACTGCATCATGTCCTGCAGCAGTTAGTTGTTACTTTTTCATTAATGACCTAAAATGTATTATTTTGAGGGAATGAAAGGCTCCCGTCACTGACCATGAGATATGAAACTTTTCCTAGCTTAGACCGAGTATTTATATCTACGATACATTTTAAAGTCAAAAATCCATGTTATCCATTTTAACTAGGTGACCACATGTCTCAGGTCACAAAAAGACACTGGTTGACATTCTTCTTGATATATTTAGTAAAGACCATGAGGAACCTTCGAAGAGTTGAAATGCCCCTGAAGCAGGCACACAGGCTCCACCTGCCTCGCCAGGAATGAATTCAGGTGAAGGAGAGGTGTGTGTGCTGGCGTTCCTCCATGTCCATAGAGTGCTTTGAGGCTAGAAGATTGACTTTAACATCCAGAATTCTCTGGCTAATCTCTGTTTAACCACATTGGCTACTTTGGCACAGGATTTTATTTTTTCTTGAATGGAAACACTTTAAAGATGCTAAACATTATTAAAAACTCATAAATGTGAGAGTACATAGCTAAAATAAAAAGGCATTTTAGTGGACAGTATTAAACTATTTTTGAAAATCAATGAGAAGCTTATGCAATTTATAATGTTTACAAACTGCAGTGCAATCTACTGTTTATGAATGTCAAAGTATTATCAGGAAACGTGTACATACAGTCACAGTCTTATTTCCTCACAGAGTTCTTTAAGAGTGAAATATGTTTTTATATCTTTGAGTTTAAGTTAAAAACATATATTGTGCAATATTTATGTTGATGTGCCTATACATTATAAATGAATGATTTCAGTTATACATTGCCTAAATCATAACTTTACAACACTTGAGAAAGAATCAACAGTTTAGTCAGAACTTCACCAAGTTCAAATGTCTGTGTTCCAAAATATTTCACATTATTGGGATGTATGGTGATATGAAGGTGTGCTCCCTGGGGTAGGGATTTGTAATTATCAGACCAGCTTGATTTTTAGTATTTGGCATCATCATGATACTTTTAAAAAATATGACATTAATAGAAAGCAATAATAACACTTTACAGGTGGAATAATAGATTCACCTGCAGTCAATAAAAGGGATAGTACAAAGGTTGTGTCCTTGTGAATTCAACCAATCCTTCAACTTGTACAGATTACTTGGTCTTGCCTTTTAATGTTCTGAGCTTTCTGTGTTTGCATCCTTTAGTTGGGTTCAGATTAAGAACAGTTACTTTAAGTCCATTGTAAACCCTGAGATTAGAAATCACCACTGATAATTAGCCACATGATTTAGTATAACATTTCTGTATAATTATTTTTTGCATATGGACTTACCTAATATATTAATAAATTATTTCAAAGGTATTTTATAGTGCAGATCATTCACTTTTACACTGATGAAGTTTATTAAGAATGACATTCAGGTAGAGCTTAGCATCTGTAGTCAATTTGAAAAAACTGTATTCAAAGGTACCTATGGACTAAATCGCATAATGATATATTTAAGCTAAATGTCAGTCTGGGAAACGTATTTACTGTATTTACTGAAATACCTCTCCTTGTGTAGGTATTTTGTCATATATTTGAGAGAAAGCTAAAAATAAAGGAAATAGGATGACATGTAATAACCTGACCTTCTTAAAAGTGCATGCAATCCTTCGCAATACCTCATATTGTGCCACATACTTGCTTTCTTCCTCATGCAGTATGAGGCAGCTTTCAATTTACTTAGAAAGCAGTGTTAGAAGGAAAGAATTTTAAAGTGGGAACACCACTGAATAAATCTGAACTCTGTAGGAGGTAAAGTTTATTTAAAAATTGTAGTATGTGATAATCATTTTTAAGTATGTGATCAAATTTGATGGGTTTTCCAGCAGTAAAAAAAATCAGTTCTAAAACCAAACCTGATTTTTTAGAAAATTTAAATCAGTCTTACTCATTGTAGAGTTTCCCCAAAAACTTTGTCTTAA